TCAGGCCATGTCCGCCATCTTTACGTGGAAGGGTTAATCTTTCTGTGGCAGATTTAGGATGATATAGTTTATGCTTAGTAAGCGTTGTTCTTGTTTTCCTTTGGAGTTGCTCGAGATCTGTGTGAGTCCAATGTATAACTCCAAAAGAGTGAGTACTGGGACAACATATGTATTTATTGCTTTAACTGTGTGTTTTGCATTTAACTGTGTTCTGAGGATAGCATTTAACCTACTTTGGTATTCTTTAATTAATCTTTGCTTTATTTGTGTATGTTCTGTTAGTTTGGCCTGTTGGAATCCTAAATACTTGTAGAACTCAGCCTCCTCCATGGATTCAATAACGTCCCCATTTCCAAGTGCAAACTCTTCTTTCTTCAGGATTCCTTTTTCTGTGTGAAGTGTTTTGCATTTGTCTAAGCCAAACTCCATTTGTATGTCCTTGGTGTATGAATGTGTGATTTGTAGGAGCTGCTGAAGTTGTTTTTGTGTGGATGCATAAAGTTTTATGTCATCCATGTACGTGAGATGTGACAGAGTAAACTGTGTTGTTTTTTCAGTCTGATATTGTAGCCATATTGCGTGTTGTTAAACATGTTGGATCATTGTTAAACATGTTGGATAATGATCACGGCTAGGCAGAACCAGAGAGGACTCGAGGAATCTCCTTGAAAAATTCCTCACCTAAAGAATATTTGGTTTGTTTGTATGGAAGTGTTACTAACCCTGAGATGCAGTGTTGTTCTCCAGTGCTGCATAGTGTTTTGGAAGAATGCAATGAGTGATGGATGTATTTTGAACGTGTGTAGAATATGTAGCAGCCAACTGTATGGAATACTGTCGAATGCTTTATTATTTAAATTTAAGCAAATAAGTAAAAAATTTAAATTTAAAATATGTATGAAAAAATGTTAAGTAAATGCCTTGAATAAGTTTTGATTGTATTAATTTTGAAATTATAAATTTGATAAATTAATTTTAGGCAGTTTGCCAATTAAAAAAAATATATTTTTATATTTATTTCAGTTAAATATTTTAAGAGCTTTGCTACATAGTTTTATTTTTAATTTTACATATTTTTACTAGTACAATTGTATAAATAACATAATAAAGAATTAATTTTCTTCAATGTATTTTTTTTATCTAAAACAATAATTTGAAATTTTCAACCTCAATTATGAATAATTTAATACTCTTGTACACATTTAACCAACTATTAATTAATAAATGAATTCTCTTTACAGAATAAAATATTCATAACTATAAAACCAGACAAATTCACATTTGATATAAATATACTATCACAAATATAATTTTAAATTAATATTAAAAATGTAATTATCATTTTTATTAATTACTGATATGAAAATGACAGATGATGGCAAAATCGGAATTTCTTTCCCCTTTTGCAAATAAGCAAAAAAGAAGTAGAAATTCCGATTTTATCATCATCAGTTACTTTTAACTTAATACTGTATTTGATAACAACAGAATGCTTTGTTACGAAACACATAAACACGTAATAAACCACGTGGTTTACAGATCAAAGTTTATGAACCAATAAAAAAAAACAGCTTTGATTACAATTGAAACATACTCATGACTGGACCAATCGTAATAAACTACGAAATAATTAAAATATTTTATTTTAAATATGAAATATATTTAAAAGCTTTCATGCGTTCTTTGACGCATTAAAGCTTTCAATATAACTTACGAAATTCTTAAAAAAAAAAAAAAAAATGGCCAAGCAAATTAATTAATCAAATAAATATATACTGTAATTAGATTATTTCGTTCTTTAAAGAAATAAGAAGGATTTCTTAGTAAAAGTGAAATCATCAAACTCACTTCTTATACTTATTCAATTATTTTATAAGCATAATAAAATCTTGCAACATCACTCGGATTTTCGGGAATTCAAAGTGGTGCCATCCGATGATGCCAACTATAGCTGAAAATACATTCCTAAATGACAGAATTTACACTTAGAATTCCTCTGTTATCAAGTTATAACACAAAGTACTGCACATGTTAATGTATAATTTTTAAAAAATAAATAAATAAACAGGTATCGTTTTAGGAGAAAATGTAACAATTAACAACTTCAGTTGTTTTTTTATCATTTTAATTAATATAAATTAAACTGATTAATAAAAATAATTTTAAATTAAAGTCGTTATTTGTTAAAATTAAACTAAAAACATTTGGCTAACGAAGAATGATAAATTCTCCTTTTCTTAGTTTGTAGTGTGATCTTCAATATGTGATTTATGCAAGTTCAATTTGAATTATTTACGTGAGAACTAGTAATGAGCGATCCGGGGATCAGTGCCACACGACCGATCAAAATCAGTGTCATCTACGGCACGTAGTCTATATTTTGTCAGTAAGTCCAGGGCCGTCGAGAAGGGAGAGCTTGGGATTTTTTCCTTGGTCCAGAGAACATTTAGGGGGCCATAATGATTCCAAACGTATAAAATTAACGTTATTTTTACTAACAGATAATCAAATTTTTAAAACTGCGTTTTATTAACTAGCTGGGGCACCCGCAGGGGCAAATCCTGACCAAAATTTTTGGGCAAGCTGAAAGTTATAATAGGAATAATGGGCATTAAACCAGGAGTCACCACACTACGGCCCGCGGGCCAAATCCGCCTCGCAAGGTCAGTTCATCCGGCCCGCCGCCGCACTATGCCACAAATAAGCTAAAATATAATTATTAATATGGAAATATCATAAATTGTAGATGAACTTACTATGTAGAAAAAATTAAAATAAGTGTAAGTGAAAATCCAGAAGTGGTCCAATATGATTTTTGCATCTGACAATAATATAAATTTTAGGAAAATCAGTGAAATAAAAAGTTCGGCGACTTTGGATATCAGAGCGCTTTTTGTGTAAGTACCTGCAATGAAGTTTCTAAGAAAAGCGAGCTTGCTTCAGCGATCGTGTTTCTGTATTGGTAAATAAATACGTTGGTTTTCTTTATTTTTTGTGTATTCAGTACAGTATTTTTTGTGTATTCAGTACAGTACTTATAACGCGAGTTTCTATAACGCGGCGAAAAAATTGCGACGGTATTCGTATAAAGACGCTAAAAGGGACTCGTAAAACGCGGTAAAACGTCATCGCCGACTCGTGTTGCGACAGGATTGGTCGAATCTGGACCAATAGTAAACGAGCAGCCGAAATACTTACACGCTACGGAGAGTTTAGACCGGTAAGTTGAGGTTACTATCGTCTGTACAGTAGAGGAGAAGGTGGTATTATGGAACCCCAATTACATTTTAGTGAATTGTAAACAAGGTATCATAACTACACCCACAGCTTTTGTGCGAAAAGTACCGGTAACTAGTAAACTAAATGTTCGTAATTGGATTTTTCGCTAGTGTAATTATAAGTATGGTTTTTGAAGGCTTTTGTACAAAAAGTCCAAAAGTAGGCTTAGAGAAAATTGGGTGGTAATATGGAACCTTACTGTATATTTTCAAAAAAATGCTTTAATTTAGCCAAANCAACGTCAACTGCTCAACTCAAAAGCTTCAACTGGAAAATTTTACCTCATCCACCATATTTGCCAGATAGTGCTCCCAGTTTTCGGAGTTTGCAGAATTTTTTAAAAGGAAAAACTTTTGAGGATGAGAACAATGTAAAAAAGGCTATTTCTGAATATTTTGATTCAAAACCGAAATCATTTTACAAAGACAGGATTAAAAAGCTACCATCAAGATGGCAAGAAATTGTACAAAATAATGGTGACTACATTATAGATTGAAATAAAATTTAGTTAAAAAGTTTTGTTGCTTTTTTTGTAGATAAAAATGCACACGAACTTATGGACTGACCTGATATATGCGAAATTATACCCCGACTTACGCGAATTTGACTTATACGGTTACCGCTTGGTCCCACCTATCGCATAAGTTCGGGGTATTACTGTATTTTCTTTTATTTGTTTTTGATTTTTTAATCCAACTGTTCAACTGAGCAAACAACATAACAGAAAAATACAGTAGCAAATTAAATTATTTTATCACAATTGAAGACAAATTGTATTTTATTTGAATGGTGTTTATGAGATTGTTGTTAAACAAAAAATTCCAGGTCATTTTTTGCAAGAGATTGTCCATAAATGACTCTATACTGGAAGGGAAAGAATGGGTTATAACAAGTTGGAAAATGGGGAGGGGAGAGGTTGAGCTTCAGTGGGCATCCATTTATTTCATTAAATTTTATACACTTTATACATTTTATTATAATTATTTCAAAGTTTCCCATATGTTTCATTTCTACTTATGGTAACTACCATTCATAAAGTGATCAACATTTCAAAGGGAGATCAAGTTTTGTTGGATGTCTGAAGAGGGGAGGGGTTATGGAATCTTGGACACAAGGGGAGGGAGAGTAAAAATTTCAAGAAAAATGTGGACATAATTTATGACAGCCCTTAACTTTCAAAATTCCATTTAGACCATGACATCTGTTAATTCTAGTGAATTATCATAAATACCTGATACTAAGCACAGTTTGTTTTCTGTCTGAACACAAAGAATTGAGTCAAAATACTTTTAAGTCAATAATATTGTTTTGGGAGCCATCAATGATAATCACTTGCCATTACCATGGAAGTAATGTTATTGCAGGCATAAAAAAATATCACGCACACTTGTGCAAGTGACCTTGTATCTTGAAAACAAAATCATGGACCGCAATTTTAATTATATTTTAATTTTCCTCATGTCATATTATGTAAAATGACAAAATTTAATCAAAATCAACTGATGAAATTTTGAGAATAAACTCAATTCTATAAGCCACACAGAAGAGGTTTTGCTAATGCTCTATCTCAACTAATCCATAAAAAAATTATATAAATACATTAACAATGTTTTATTTAATTATAAGAATCACTATGATTAATTGTAGTGCTTCTTATAATTAAATATTCATACTTTAAATGTTCAGTTAAATATTAACATAACAATTCTAAAATTACAAACCTGTGGTTCAAATAAACCAACTCTCTGAGTCATAGGTTCATTGGTCACAACTTCCACTTTGCATATTAAACCTTTATCAATTGTATGGAATAGAAGATCATTTTTTGTAAGATAAATCTCTCGTCCAATTGGCACTTCAATTTCTTTGCTATATAGTAATAGCTGAGCCATATTAGGAACAACAAGTACATATAGACAATTTACAATTACAAGAATATTCATCTTGATTGAACTGACCTAATAATCTGTAAAAAAAAAAAACATTTCATTGAATAATGATGGGTAATATTAAAATGAAATTAATTTAAATTATTAAATTAGAATTATTTATAATGTTTAAAAATAATCTTCAATTCTTCCTAAGATAAATTCTTTGTCCAATGCTTAAGAGCCATACTACTTAAGTAATAATTTTAATATTGGAACACAACTTACACTCATATTCAACTTTATCCAATTCCTTATATTCATTATTTAAAAATTTTTTATTTTCAACTTTTAAAAATTTAATTAAAATATATTCTGTTTTCATTTACTACCAATATCTGCAAGCCATTCCTGACTATCATCTTACTCATGTTTTTTGTAATATATACAAATTCTTAAAAGTTTTTAACTAAATTTGGAACATTTTCCACTTATTTAATATACTACAGTATATTAGAGCATATTATTTAATATACACTAATATACAGTATTTTTCATATGCTGTGTAAATGTATTATTTCTTCATAAACTTAAGCACATTTTATATATATATATTTAAATTTTAATACTCTTTTAATATCTCCATATATCCATTTCTTCTTTATTCTGTTCACCACTGTATAAATTTTGCTTTTCTGTCTTGATGTAAAATGTTCTTTTCAAAATCAAACATTAAAAAGTCTGTACTATTCTTATTGTTAGATTTTTTACTTGCATTTCTTTATAATTATTTTACCTGCATTGAAGATTAATTAAGATATAAACAAAAATTAATTATATTTTTTTTTATCTCTTTATCAATTTATTTTTCTTGATATTATTTGCATTTTCTTTTTGTATCCATAAGAATCTTAGTAAATTCTGTGTTTTGGAAATGTCTATCATGTATGTCTTGATTGCAAATAATATTAAGAAATTATAAAAGAGCTTCTTGTCTCAAAAATTGTTGAAACTAATATCTCAAATACTATAGTAGAGAAACAAAGACTTATCATACTGCTACTGGAAATATTCATACTTAAAACATACCTGTTCAAGATTTATTTCAATCCACACTGAAAATTGCTTACGGAATATCAAGAGATTTTCTTTATAGATATTGTAGGTCTGTTTGTAATGTAATCCTCATAGTACTGTGCAGTGTGGGTGGAAATAAATCTTGAACAGGTATGTTTTAAATTGTAGATTGTAATTAATATCAATTTCTCTGTGAATTTTTTCTACAACAGATATCTATATATATTTATGTATGTCTGACGAGAATCTTGTACCAAAATGCATATCAGTATTAAAGTTACATTCTGATGATAGAAGTGTCATTTTGATGTTACCAGTAGCAATGTGATGTCTCTGTTTCTCTACTATAGTATTTGAGATATTAGCTTCAAAAATTAAGAGAGAAAACATTGGTGTATTGCTTAAAAATAATTACCTCAAAAAATAACAAAATAATAATACAACATAATGAGTTATTAAAAATAAGGAAGACAATTAATTTTGCATGATACAAATAATTTCATATCAGATTTAAAAAGAAAACCAGAGAGTATATCAAAATTAGAAAGTATTGTAATAAGATTTTTGAAAATTCCAGAGTTTGTAATTTATTTATGAAAGTTATTGATTAAAATTTTTACAATAATTCAATGGAATGATACTTCAAATTCAAATAGAAACAAAAATAAAGGTTTGAAAAGTAGAATATTTAAATAAATTAAAACAAATTATTATTATTATTGTTGTGTTTAGTGGATTATACTCGGTTCACACCGGTGGCTGTGTACTATGCCGGACCAGAGTCAAGGCATAGTAACCGAAATAAAACTAAAACTAAATAAGTGTGTCAGTGTCTGTATTCAGGAATTTCCTAACAATATGGCATGTATTCAATATAGTGGCCTTCTGTAGTGTTATGTATGTATTTCTATTCAATTGTAATGTTCCCAGGCTTTTGTGTAGTGTGTGTGGTATCACACCTGTACAGGAGAGAACAACAGGTACAATAACTACCCTATCCATCCTCCATAGATGCCTTATTTCCTGGGCAAGTTCTGTGTACTTGCTAATTTTTTCAGTGCATGTGTTTTGTACATTGTGAGTGTTTGGAATGGCTAT